CCCCCACCTTTGCAGCTTTGACTTCTGCTGATTTAATTATTCATGGATTTTATTAATATGTTCTCTCTAGGAATATCTAGGTCCTCCAGCACAACTCTGTGGTCAACTTTAACCAAAAGTCATACTGAAGGACCTAGAGATTTCTAGAGAGAACACTCCACTAGGCATTTGTAGCACCTCCAGTGCAATTCTAGGGTCAATGTCTGGCAAATGTTGACCACAGAGTTGCACTGGAGGACCTAGAGGTTCCTAGAGAGAACGCTCTACTAGGCATTTGTAGGTCCTCCAGCGCAATGCTACAGTCAATGACTGGCAGGTGTTGACCACAGAGTTGCACTGGAGGACCTAGAGATTCCTAGAGAGGTGTTCTCTCAGATAAAAACATATTGTTTTTATTTGTGGTTTTCCTACTTTCACAGGGGTCCTGTGCCCCTAACCCCAGTGAATGTGGAGGGACGAGTGTAGTTCTCATTCTCCCCATTTTATCCTCTCAACCTTCCTGTGAAGTAGGTCTGACTGAGTGACAGTGACTAGCCCCATGGTGGCAAACCTATGGCACGCGTGCCAGAGATGGCATACGAAGCCATTTTCCCTGGCACACGGAGGGTGGGAAGAGGAGGAACAGGTCCGTACTTTTTCTGGAGAGGCAGCTGAAAGCCCGGGAGGACGTTTCAAAGAAGTCCCATCCCAGAAGTCTCGTCCCTGCCCCTCCCCCTGAAGGTGGAGGTCCTCCCCCCCAGAGGGCAGAAGTTCCACTCCAGAAGTCCCATCCATCCTGGCCCCCCCGGAAGTCCCACCCCTTTTACATGCCTTTTAGTTTGGACATTCAGCCCCTAAAAGTTTCATCATCACTGGACTAGCCTAAGGGTCATGGAGTAAGTGCCATGGCTTTAGTGAGGTCTAAATCCCAGATCTGACAAGTTCCAGTTCAGTACTGTAACCACCAGGCATTACTGCCTGACCATTACTACAGTGGGGCCTTGGTATCTTCTGAGGTTTGGTTCCAGGACCATCCATAGATATAAAAATTAGTCGGAAACACTTTGAAGGCACACAACGACAAACGATAATCATACTATGGTTGCATCATCAGACAACATAAAACATTAGAAAAGACAGTAGTGCTTAGTAAGGTGGAAGACAATAGGCAAAGAAGAAGACCACATTATAGATGAATTGATTCAATCATGAAAGCCAGAGCCTTGAGTTTGCAAGATCTAAGCAGAGCTATTCATAATAGAAATCTTGGAGATCTTTTATCCACAGAGTCATTGTATGTCAAAGCCAAATTTAATGAAACTAACAACCAATATGGGTGGTACCAATTATTAAATAAGGATTCACCATTAAAGAAGACTTTTCACTAAAAGAGAGAGTATTTAGCAGGGGCAAGCAATGTATGACCCTCCAAATATTATTGGCTCCAGCTCCTTCCATCCCTTTCCATTGGCTGCACTGGTTAGGATTGATGGGATTTGTAGTTCAGCAACATCTGGAGAACCACATGCCCATCCCAGTGTTTGTTGTTCTGTGCCTTCAAGTCGTTTCTTCTTGGCAAGTTCCTTCAGAGGGGATGTGATTCCCCAAG